GGGGGGGAGCCGCCACGACGGGGTTCGCGGTGGGCTTCGATGGAGCGATTCCCGCAGCGGCCTCCACGTCAGCAGGGGTAATCCTTCCGTACGGTCCCGTCCCTACAATGGATCCGATATCCACCTTGTGCTGCTTTGCGAGCTTCTTCGCAAACGGCGTCGCAACCGTCTTCCTGGGTCCATCCGGAACCACCGAAGCCGCCGGAGCGGGCTGAGAGATAGCCGGAGCGGGAGAGGAAGTCGCCGGGTGAGGAGAGGGAGCGACGGCAGGAGCAGCGGAGGAGGATGATTTCGAAGCGGCCTTCGCTTTAGCCTCCTCAATCTCGGCCTCTGTCTCCGCCAGCAATCCGATCGGAGCTCCGACCAGAGCGGTCTCACCCTCGCTGACGACAATGGCGGCGAGATATCCGTCGTAGAAGGTCTCCACATCCATGTCGGCTTTATCGGATTCGACAACGACGACACTCTCTCCCTTAGCGAGCTTCTCGCCTTCGGATTTGATCCATGAAACGATCTTACCCTCAGTCATGGTGGAAGAGAGAGCGGGCATGAAGATCTCCCTGATCTTCGATTGAACGGTCATGATTCTACGGCGGGAAGATGCCGGAGATGGTGAGCAGAAGACGACGCGGCGGAGGCATGGGAGTGGGGAAGCGGAGACGGAAGAGGAGAAGGAGATGGTGGATTTGGAGCTGGAGAGAGAAGGCGTCGATAGGAACGAAGAGTAAGCCGCGGCCATTGTTGTTTCTCGTGGAGTGACTGACTCCGTGTGTGTAGCAAAGAGAGAAAGAAAGAGAGAGAGAGAGAGATGGGAGAGAATGGAGTCGAGAGAGAGAGAGAGAGAGATTGAAGAGTTAGGAAGAGGGAAATGGCGGAGAAGACGAGGTTGGAGTTGGAGTTGGAGTTGGTTAAGCTGCCCAACTGAATTTGGTTCATATTCACATAAAATTCAACCCATTTCATAATATGTTAATTTCATTTCCAAAAAGCATTATATAATATGATTAACCACCATACTGTTTCCAAAATTTAATTCCACAATTCCTAAATCCAAATTTGTGGGTTTTAACTAAATTAGCACGCGTTAGTTTTATTCATTGGTCAATTTATCGGTTTATTTTTCTTAATTTGAGTTTGCAATGAACTATGTTTATTATAAATTTTAAATTCACAATTTTCCTGAACGAGGAAGTTAATTGTTTTTGTATAAAAACAATTTTATTATATGGTCGGATTTTTTTAAAAAAAGAGCAAAGGCCGCTGGGCTGAATCATGCGTGATGGTGACGCGGTCCAATGGCACGTGGAAGCAGATAGGGGCAAAATTGGAAAATGTCAAAACGAAATGAAATTAGAAAATAAAATTTCTTTTGGATTATATTGAAAACAGAAAATACTTTTTGTAGGGAAAGGGAAAATTATTGAAAGGCTCGGCGAGAGAGAGAGCATCAACATTCTCCCCCAACCCTAACCCTAATTTTGCTTCGACGATCTTCGATGGCGAGCGGCAAGCAGAGCGAATCTCACCACCGCAAGCACCGCCGTTCTCCTTCTTCTTCTTCCTCACCTGAGGAGGATAAATCTTCGAAGCGGCGCAAGCATCGCAATCACAAGCACCACCACCGTCATCGCCGTGATAAGAAGCGCGACGAGGAAATCGAACATAGCGGAGATGAAACAGTTGCTTTGGTGACGTCTGATTCTCCTCATCCGGTGGTTCCTGCTGCGGTGAGTAACGGCGGCGACGATGATGTGGAGGAGGGAGAGATTCTAGAAGAAGAGGTTCCTGGTGAGATTTTGAAGAAGAGATCAGATTCTGACGGAGAGTCTGGAGAAATCAAATCCGACCGTTTTCGGGAAGATAATCCGGTCTGTTCTAATCGCCCTTTTACTATCGAAGTTGTTGGCTTAATATCTGTTTGGATGCTGAGATAAGAAGGTTAGATTTTGGTTTTCGGAAACTGGAAGAAGTTTGAAACTTTTTTGAAGTTAACCTATGCCACATTCTCAGTCACTAAACGGAATATAAGCCCTTTTTGTTAAGTTTTCTTTTTGCAGTTTATGATAAATTTTTTGGTCTGTGAGAGCCTTTTTAGATAACCTGTGTCTCATGCATATGTAAGAACGTGCTTGCACTGCAAGAACATGAGTGAAATGCAAACGCAGTTGCACTAGGCGTTTCGATGGAGACTGATGGCTTTCCTTTGATTTGTAAGAGCTGGTTACACGTTTAAAATTCTCTTTCATATAGATATTACTTGTTTTTCTATTTTTTTTCTAGAATCGTCATGTCTCTGCATTTTATCCCAGATGTTTCACGTCGGGTTTCTGTTCTAATTTATTTTGGTAGTGCTTGCAGCCTGTCCGTGAAGATAGTCTTCCTGCGTCGACAGTTGTAGATGACCAGAATAGTGGAAAAAAGGTACATCAAGGCAAAGAAGGCATCTATAATGGTATTTCTGGACATAATTCAGAGAGAAGTGGTAAGAAAAGTTATGGTAATAACTATAAAGAGGAGCTTGTTCAGAGTCAGTTGGGCAATGCCAGGAGCTCATTTTCCTCAGGAAGTTCTGAAGAAAAGCCCAAGAGTATTACCTGCTCGCCTTCAAACAGCAGATACTCTAGCGAGGTTCGTGCTCGTAGTAGATCGAGGTCCCATGATCGTGAGAGGGAAATACCAAGATCACGAAGTGTTAGGGATCATCAACATGATTTCGTTGGTTTAGGTAGGAATGAAGAATGGTATTATCGACATGGAAGATATGGGGAAGATGATAGACATTACAGTCGGGAGGTCTTGGAAAGAGAGAGAAGTAGGGAA